AAGAGGCCGGGGGTTGGATTATTCCATTTAAGATTGAAGCAAAAACAAATATAACCTCACTGGAGTGAGTTAAAGCAGTCTGCAGGGCTGCGAAATAGGAGCTTTGTGGCCAGGAGCAGCCAACAGGCAGCAGCATGGCAGAACCAGGGCGAGCTTGGTGGGTGGACGGTGAAGATCCCGAAAAGGAGAGTCATTCACACCTGTAGAATAAAGAGTTTCATAGGGATCAGGTAGAGGATGATGAGCTATGAAGTCAAGTCACTCCCTCACTGCTGCCTGGCTAGAAATGCCACGGCCATGAGGTTGATTTTAAACTTTGGGTGGAGCCGGAAGCAAAGCCGGGTGCAAGTCCACCACTGCACCCCCCGATCTGCCCCCGGGGTTGGTCTACGTGATCTCTGGAGGTCCCATCCAGCTCGCCGTCTCTCTCATCCAGTGCCTGGATGCAGGATGCACTGTCCATCCTCCCCCGGGGCTCGCTGGGCTGGTCTAACAGCCGACCACTGCCGCGGGGCGCGGATCCCCCTGCCGCTGCCCCACGCTATGCCGTCACCCCCAAATGCAGCTTGCACCGAAAACAACGCTGCCGCCGAGCGCGGAGATCAGTGGCACGGGGAGAGTCGGCAGAGCTGCGGGCTTGGGGGCAGCAGCACCCCATTAATAGAGCGTGGACTGGTCAGACCTTTGTGAGCTGGATCCAGTCTCTTGGCACAAGAAAAGCCTGATATTTTTTTCCATTCCTGTGCCCTGATTTTTTTCCTCCGCTGATGCACAGAGCCATAGCTGGGAGCCCAGACTGGCTCACATGCAGCTTCCCAAGGCCTTACGGACACATGGAGAGGTGGCGGCAGGCCGAGGGCTGTTCCACTGCCCCGTAAATCAGTGCTAAGCCCCCGGGGCGTCGAGTCCGAGCACAGCAGGGCTGGAAGGGGTCTGCAAGGGTCACTCCTAGTCCAGCCCCTGAGGAAGGATCAAACCCGTCCCCGCTCCCAGACTGGGCTGCAGCCAGCACCCAGTGCCTCCGCTGGCTCTCCCCGGCTAGACGAGTGCCTCAAACTCTGAAGGAATCGACATGTCCTTTGCGTGCTCTTGCCAGAGAGGAACCGTCCCAGCGCTGGGCGGAAGCCAGAGAGAGAGTCAGCGCCGAACTCGTGACGCCTGGGCCAGCACTTCTGCACAGCCGAGGGGGTAGGGACGCTGGGACCAAGGGACAGGGCCCTGGATCACAGCAGGTCTGCATTGCATTCGGGGACAGTCGCCTGAATCCCACACGGGTCAGTGCCAGTGAGAACGGGGGACCTCGGGCCAGCAGAGAGCCTGGCCCCAGGTGATGGCTGGAATGACTTTCCCTGGCAGCGCTTCAAGGGCTGCTTGGGGTCACGCACGCCCGAGCCATAAACACGTTACCGTCGAACGCACCATACAGGCCGGTGAGTCTCAGCCGGGTGCCGCAGCCCTTGGGGTGCCTCGAGATCCGTTCAGGGAGCGCCACGACGCAGGCAGAGGTGATCCACGGGATAAACCCCGCGATGTCACATAGGAAGCCAGAGCGTCCAAACCCCTCGGCCCCGTCGGGGGCTCGCTGAGTTCTCTGCAACAGAAGAGTTGCTCTTGGTTTTTTTCCACCATCCAAAAACCCCAAGGGAAAACTGCCGGCATCTTCCCCCCAGTCTAACGCAGCTGAGAAGTGCTGCTGGAGAGGTTGCAGGAGCTGGGACAGGCCTGGCCCCGAGCCGGGCTGGGCGGCAGGAGAGGGAGAGAGCGATGGAGAGAAAGAGGCCGCATGCTTTTCCGCTGGGCTGTGGCTCCGAGCGGCACGGGCGCAGACGTGCTGAGTCAGAAGGCAGTTTTGGGCAGCGAGGGAGGTGCGGCGTGAGGAGCCGACTCTCAGCCTTGGTGCTCGTGGTCCCAGATGCCCCTATGAACCTCGCCGCTCAGTGCTCGGTGGCTTCCAGCCATGCCTGGAGCGGCCGCCGGTACCCGCAGCCCTTCGAGAGAGAGGCTTTTCTGCAGCCAGGGGCTTCATCCTGTGTCTGCAAACTGGTCCCCCCAAACTGGTCCCCTATCAGCCCAGCTGCAAACTGGTTCCCCCCAAACTGGTCTACTATCAGCCTAGCTGCAAACTGGTCCTTGCAGTTGCAAACCAGTCCCCTCAAACTGGTCGCCTATCTGCTCAGCTGAAAACTGGCCCTTGCAACTGCAAACTGGTCCCCAATTAGCTCAGCTGCAAATTGGTCCAGCTGCAAACTGGTCCCCTGTCAGCCCAGCTCCTGGTCTGCCTCGCTCCCAGCCTCAGCTGACTCCCCGCTGACCTGGTGCTTTCAGCTGGTGTAGCTCTTGGCCCGTCCTGTTTCAAAGCCCAGGGAGGCGGGAGAGTTCAACGCCTGCCCTCGGTCGCTAGTGCATGCTCTGAGGTGCTTGAGGAGGGATACCCGTGCTCTCCCACCCAGGCAGGAAAAAGCGAGGCTGGGACCTAGCCGGGGAGAGGGCTGGCCTGGCCTGGGGTGGGGCCGCCGAACCGGGTGGGATTCGGTGCCCATTTCCATCCCAGCAGCTGGCCCCAGAGCGCAGCAGCAGGCGGAAGGAGGCCGAGAGCCTTTGCCAAACGTTAGTCGCACTTGGCAGGTCACACTCCCCGCGCCCTGCCAGGCTGTGAGGTCAGCCGTTGCAAAGGCTGGAGTAGGGGCCTGGATTCTTCAGTTTAAGACTGAAGCAAAAACAAATATAACCTCATTGCAGGGAGGTAAAAACAATCCGCGGGGCTGCGAAATAGGAGCTTCGTGACCAGGAGCAGCCAACAGGCAGCAGCATGGCAGAGCCAGGGCGAGCTTGTTGGGTGGCACATGGAGACCATGAAAAAGAAGAGGGTTGTTAACACTCGTGGAATAAATTGCTTAGTAGGGATCAGGTAGAGGCTAACGACCTATGAAGTCAAGTGAGTCTCTCATTGCTGCCTGGCTAGAAATGCGACGGTGGAGGGCAGGAAGGGAGCCCAGGCCTGTGCCCGGGTTCTGGGTTCGTGGAGGAGTGGAGGAGCCTTAGAAAAGGCTTGGAGAAAGGCAGCCAACACGATCAGGGGGCTGTTGCCAGACCAGGAGAGACTAAACACGCTTAGGGCTCTTCTGTCTGGAAAGGAGGGGGCTGGGGGGGGTCTATAAAATTGCCAAGGGGGTGGACACGGGGAGCAGGGACCTGTTGTTCACCAAGTCTCGGAGCACTAGAAAGAGGGGGAACCGCTGAAATTAGCAGGTGACAGGCTTAAAACGAACAAGAAAGGACCTTTTAATGCGAAGCGGAGTTAACTGGTGGAACTCATTGCCCCAGGAGGTGAGGGATCTCACTGTTTTTGTGTGCGTGTCCCCTCTGGGCCTGGTCCCCGGGGGGCTCGGGGTGTGTCAGGCCCAGCCAGCAGGGCCCGACTCTTCGATTCCAGCTGCAGCCCCTCAGGCCGGTAGCGCTGGAGGTCTCAGTATTGGTATATAGCTTGTAGCCACTGCCAGCGGCACTGCATGCAGCTGTGACGGACACACGGCGAATGGGGCTGCCGGCGCGGGGGCGATGGGGGCTGGCTGTCTTGCCCACGGGGCTGTGCTAGCACAGGGTGGGTAGAAATCTGCACGATGTGTCGGCTTGCGCAACTAATGCACAGAGAGAGCAGCATGTCCGCACACCAAGGGGTAACAGGCTCTATATCCCATGGCAGTGGCCTTGGGCAGGACGATGAGGCCCCCCGGCTCTGCCCCCCCATGCCCCTAGGATATTTTGCTAGGAGCTGGCTGCAGCTGCAGCTGTGGGGAGCAGCTGGAAAGGGTCCGGTCCCCCCGGCTGGGAACTTGCTGGCTCTTCTTTCAACTCGGGATACTAAGTGAAACCAGGTTTAGCTTCCCTGTCTGGGCCAGGCCCTGCGTCAGCGCACAGCCCTTCCTGCCAGGAGAAACTCAAGCCGTCCGGCAGCGGAAAGACAAGTCCCTTTCCTTGCCATGCAAAACCTGGGGTGTTCCTGGGGCGGTGCTGGGAGAGATCAGGGAGCAGAGGGGGTAGCCCCCCCCAGGCTGGGCAGCCTCTGCAAAGCAGCTTTGGGCAGAGCAGGAATCCAAGGGGGGTGCAAATGCACCCCTGCGCCCCCCTGGATCCACCCCTGCACACCAGGGATGGAGACTCTCTGTCAAACTCCTCGGCCGTGCAGGCTGGATGAGTGCTACGTGCCCGGATCAGGCCCACGGGCCCCCCTCCATGTGACAGATCCTCTGCATGTGGCATCTCCTCTGCAGAGAGTTGCGTTCGGGCTTTTAAAGCCAGGCCCAGCGTGGCTGCGGGTGAGGATTTCTTCGGGGGATCTCTTGTTGCACCAAGTGCTGAGCTGATGCAGGGCCAGGCACGCACGGCATTGTCTGCCGGGTTGTTTGGGGACGGAGTGGCGGTGGCGGTGGGTGGGCAGGACAGAGCAGCCTCTCAGGAGGGGTCTGTGATGTCCGGGAGAGGTCTGTCCCTGCATTAGTGCCCCCCATGGAGCCCGGGCAATGCCAAGACCTTGGCACACGCTTAGCACATGCCAGGGGTGCAGCACAGACCCATTTGTGGTGATGAAGTGCAAGGTCCAGACACCGAGACTGAGCTCCCGGGCATGCGGAGAGGGTCCAGCAAGGAGGACCATTACAGCGGATGCAGCATAGGCAGCCTCTTTCTGCTCCTGGCAGGTTCCCTCCGTGGCAGCAGTGGGTAAGGGGCTGGCCTGCCGTGGGACTGCCTGGCCTGAACCGGCCCCCGCTGAGAGCATCTCCCATGGCATGGCCACCCCAGCCATCCAGGGAGGCTGTGGGGGGTCTCAGGCTGCGTGCAGGGGCTGGGCTGGCCTCAGGGGAGGGGTTCAGGACCAAGACGGGCGGTCTGGGAGGTCCAGCCAGGGAGGTCTGGATCCCTGCCTCAAACCGAGCTGCTTTTCGCTGCCCTCCGCCTCCTTCACTCACCCCCTCTTTTCCCCCTGCCTGTCTCCCCTGCAGGCCCCGTGGAGGCCACGGAGCACACGTCTCTCCCCGAGCAAGCCCCTGTGGCCATCAGGAGGCTCCTGGAAGCTTTGGAGAAGCAAGGTAGGTCGTGCCCCGCATTGCACCCCCCTCCGCGGCATGACCCGTCCATGCTCCAGGACCCCCGGGATTTGCTAATCACCAGCAAGCAGAACAACGGGGTCTGCAGCCATCCCAGACACCCGGCGCCAGCACCCACTGAGCCGGTCCACGGGCACGGGTGGGAAACAGAGGTGCCCACGCCAGACACGCTTGAGGGTTGCTTGTCAGCCCAGTGCTGCACTGTCCCGGCTGGACCCGGCTTGGGCCCGGCCCCCAGTGCCACCCCTAGTCTGGGCGCCTCGTACGGGGCAGCTGGGACTGGCTTGGCCAGGGCAGGGGGCAGTTTTCCGTGCTCTCGGGTCACAGGGATGCTGGTGGGAGAGGAGCCGCTGTCCCGGCGGACCCTCTTGCTGCGGGGAGCCACGGGGTCTCTGTAGTGGGGGCACTGTGCTCACACACCTGCATGGGCATGACACATGTGCACGGCACACAAAATTAGGTACTGCTGCGTCTTGCCGGCAGAGGGCATCACTCACATGCACCTGCACACACACGTGCACACGCACAATGGGCAGTGCTAAATCTCGAGCAGGGACACCAGGTGCACACAGGCACACGTGCACAGCATGTGTGTGCAGCACACACAAATTAGGTAGTGTCGCATCGATCTCCAGCAGAGGGCACCTCTCGTTCTCTGTCACACACACAATCAGTCACACTTGCACCTTCAGGCAGTGCTGAATCCCTTCAGCAGAGGGCACCACTTACATACGCACGCACACACACACACATACAGTCATACTTGCACATTCAGAGGCAGTGCTGAATCTCTCCAGCTAAAGCCCCTATCCAAACGCACACAATCACAGTTGTGCATGTGTGTGTGCGCACGCACACGCACGGGCACATACATAAATGCATATGCATGCACAATAGGCAGTGCCAAATCTCTCCAGCAGAGGGCGCTGCACACCCACACATATGCACACACACAAACATGAGTGCGTATGCACACGCGCGCACACACAATAGGTAGTGCTGAATCTCTTCAGCAGGCAGCACACACACAGACATACACAGTCATACTCGTTTGTGTGTGCACACATACGCTTACACGTGCACGCACACACAGGCAGTGGTGAATTGCTCCAGCAGAGAGCACCACACACACGCGCGCGCGTGCGCACACACACAATATGTAGTGCTGAATCTCTTCAGCAGGGGCCACAACACACACGTGCATGTATGGGCAGGGTACCTGTATGCACACACACTAGGCAGTGCTGTATCTCTCCAGCAGCAGACACCACTTGCACAAGTTCACACACTCACAAAACGGGAAGTGCTGAATCTCTCCGGCAGGGGGCGCCCCACACCCACACCCACCCAGACACACACACAATTGCACACACTCGACTCTCATGGCTCTTGGGAGGGGCAGGGACCCCCAAAGCAAGAGCCCCCCTGTGCTCAGCCCGGGGCCAGTCCTGCTGTGTGCAAGGGCAGGGGCACGAGGCTGACGATCTGCTCCCGGCTCTCCCCCAAGATGTCGAGAGCGAGGCCCTGTACCGATCCCTGCCCGGCGCTGCCGGCCACCCCGAGCTCCGGCAGGCCCTGCTGACAGGTAAGTCGCCATTGCATGTGGGTGTACACGCATGACACACAGAAGCACCTGCACACATGTGACACACTTGGGATTTCCCCCCTTATTTCCACCTGTGTGAGTCCAGCGGTACCAGGTGCTGGGTGCGGGGGGACACCTGCCCTTTATCCCCCACCCCAGATACCTTCTGCCCCTAGCTCCATCCTTGCCCCTTGGTGGGACCCTGAGTCCAGCCGTGATGCCACGGCCCCCCCAGATCTGTGCACCAGCCAGCGAGCCTGCAGACCAGGCTGGTGTGGGGGTGGCTGTGGCCCATCTTCTCCTGCTGAAAGCAGGGTGGGTTCATCCCTGTTCCTTGGGGGAGGTTAGGATGGGACCGTGGCCAAGTAGGGGCTGGGAGCTGGCGGTACCAGGGTGCAATTCAGCCCATCCGGGCATATGCAGGGGATGAGGGAGTGCTTCATCTGTGCCCATTACCCAGGTGACAGCACCATGGCACCAGCCAGCACCCAGCCCCGGGCACCCCCGGCTGAGTCTGGTATGCAGGGAGTGGTGGTGCTTGCACCTGGGTCCTGCTGGCTGCCGAGAGGACATGGCTAGGGGGGATCCAGCTGCCACGTGCCTCATGGCATGGCCCCCCTGGCCATGTTGCCATGGCAGGGAGCCAGATGGAAGAGCTATATAAAGCAGCATGAGCTCATCGCGGCTGGGAACCAGGTCCCGGGGGGGGTGTGGGGGCCTGGGAGAGCCTCACGTGTCGTGGCAGTGAGGGGGGAGAGGAGCGGGGGTGTCTGGTGCGGGGGGTCAGGAGTAGGGACCTGTGCCACAGGAGAGTTTTGCACCTCTCTGCTTGGCTCCTGCACCTGTGTGCTGGCCCAGGTGTGTGTATGCGTGCCTGTGCATGAGTGTGTGCATGCATGTGCATGTGCACGTGCATGTGCATTCATCCCTACTTAGACCAAAGAACTGCAAAGGAAATAAGGAGAAAGGATGGAGATAAAGTGCATTATATATTTTCCCCTGGGCACTGAGACAAGCATGTGTCTCTGAGCTGTGTTTTAGCCATGGTACTAGGCAGGCGGGGATGGGGCAGCGGGGTCTTGTGCGGGATCTGGGAGAGTCCCCTGTGTGCACTGGTGCCCAGCCCAGTCCAGGCAGGACCAGGCCCTACCAGGGCTCCGGGCAGCACTGTCCAGGGAAGGATGCTAAGAGAGCCCAGCTCCCAAGGGAGCGACGTGCTGTGTGGGTCTCTTCTCCAGCACAACAATCAGAGCTTCATAGACAATGAGGGTGGAAGGGAGCTCAGGGGGTCACATCCAGTCCAACCCCCTGCTCCAAGCAGGACCAGCCCCAACTACATCATCCCAGACAAGGCTTCGTCTAGCCAGGCCTTCAGCACCTCCAAGGATGGAGACTGCACCACCAACCTATTCCAGTGCTTTAATACCCAGAAGGTGTTTCCTACTATCCAACCTAAACTTCACAAACTACCCTTTTTCTGACCAAATACCTGCTTTCTGGGGCTGGTGTGAACTACATCAGCTAGACCAGGCTAGAGGGTGCGTCTTGTCCCTCTGCTCAGGGTCAAATCAACGCTGCATTTGGAGGTCAGGAAGGAGTCGGACCCCATGCTCAGACTGGTACAGACTGGGGGGGCTGTCCTCTGTGGCGGGGGCACAGCCTCTGCCTGGGCTCTCTCGAGTGTCTACTAATCCCCTTTGCAGCAGCAAGACGTTGGCTGTCGCAGTCCCCCTGCCTTCCCCGCGGCAGGTTCGGGTGCGATGCCTGGTGCTGGTTCAGGGTTGACTTTAGTTTTGCTCAGAGGTTGGATAATCCAAGAGCTCCCAGCTGTCGGGGCCGATCCCTCTGATCGTGACTCACAGCTCCTCTCATGCCGGAGGGGAGCCGTGGCGGCTGGAGGGGGCGGCTGGGGTCCGTAAATGTTGCCGAGCTATTCCTGCCACCGCGAGGGTGCGGGGGTGCCGGTGCCTGGCGGGGGGCAGAGCCGTCGGCTGGCAGTGAATCATGCTTTCCGGGGGCAGCTGAACAGAGCTGCAAAGTTGGATGGTCCAAAGGGGTGGAGAGTCTGCCCCCCCTTCTTCCCCATCCATGGCTCATCAGCGCCGGGTCCCGTGCACAGATGAAATGCAGCCTGCTCCCGGGTCCCGGGGGACGAATGCATTTGCAGGCAGGAGAAGGGCTGGTGTTAGGGGAGCCCCGGGGGAGGCATGTCTGAACTCCCACTCCTGACAGCAGATCTCCTGTTATTAGCGCTTGGGTGGGAGGAAGCATGGGCGAGAGGACACAAGGCCCCAGGATGGGGGTTGCACCCATCTTTGCAGAGCAGATGCTGCACCCCAGGACCTTGCTGGGGTCTTTGTGCTTCTGCTGCCTTGCTCTCCCCACTGCGCCAGGCAGGGCTGGTGTGCTCGGGACTGTGGCATTGGGGTGTCACATTCGCAGGACATGGCTTTGGAGAGCACAGAGCCGCTGGGCCACGAAGCAGTGACCTGCTGTGCCGGACTGGGTTACAGCATCCCCACCCCCTCCGCGCTTAGCCCACGACTGGCCCTAGTGACCCCTCTGCACAGCGGGTCAAGTGCACGGCGCCTTGGTTTCTCAGAGGGGTCCCAGGGCTTTCAGGTCTTGCTAAGGAGGAAACGGGGGATTTTTTTTCCCTGGGAAATACCAGCTGTTTTCTGAAAACTGGACTCTCCCGCAGCCTCTGGCCCCCAGGAACCTGTATTGTGTTGCCCCCCGCCAGTAGATTTGGGGCTGAAAACTGGGTTTCCTAGAGAGAAAAACCTAAGGTTGTTGAGAACGGGCCCTCTGCCCTCAACTTCCAGGGGGAAGAAGTTTCTATGGAAAAGCTTCGACCTGCCTGATCCGCACAGGCCAGTTGGGGCGCTTGTACACAGGACGAGTCGTCCATGTACACGTTATGAACCTAGGAAGGAGCTTGGAGAGGGGTCACCATGCCCAGTGCCCTGCCGAAGGGTAAGGCCACGGCCTGGCCGACTGCAGGCAGAGATAGGCAGGTATCTCTTGAGCGGGTAGATGCTGCCTTTGGGTCGCAGCAGAGCTGCCCAGCATGGAGCACGTATCAGTGGCCCAGGATTGGTGCCCGAATGCAGCCTAACTGATACCGATGCACCACGAAAGCCAGGAGGGCTCTGTCCTTCCCGTATATCCCATCGCCTCTGTCTCACGCCTTGCCTCGCTGGGGGAACAGAGGGGAAGAATCGCTCCCCTCTGTCCTCGTGCGACCCCCCTCCCCTGGAAACCGTCCCCCGAAAGGGGATAATCTTCTCTCCGGCATCGATGTGGGTGATTTCCCCACTGTCTCTGCTCGAAGCGCAGTGGCTCAGCCAGTCGGGGAAGATGATGGGGTGCAGACAGGGCGGCAGGAGAACAATTTGGCCTGTCACAACGTGGAGGCGAGCTTTCTGATTGCTGTCATCAACAGCTTACGGCAATTACCCTGACAATAGAGGGCTAATGCTCCTCCACAATAGGCTGCCAGGAGGAGCAATGCAAGGAGCTTGGAGTTAGCGCTGCGAGTGGGGGGAGGAAGGGCGCACGCCGGCGTCCAGATCCTTGCAGACGGGGGAAGCCGGCCCACTGCAGCATCCCGGGGGCTGCTGGTTTTGGCATGGAGCATCACGGGTCAAGATGAAGCTGCAAAACTACATTTGGCTTCCAAGAGCCAACCTCCAGCTCCACTTTCTCCCCCGCAGCCTTTGCCAGGGAAGGGTCTTTAAATGGCAGGTATTTGGGCAGACTGTGGTACAGCAACACCGTGGGCGGCTGCAACCTGTCGCTTGCCTTCAGCGGACGCTTGGAGCTTCATGAAAGCAGCGGAGGACTGGGCTGGGGCTCGCCTACGGCACCATCAGTCGGGCAGAGGAGACTCTTCTGCAATTAGCAGTATGGGGGCTAGGGCAAGCGTTTAGCAGCTCTGTTGCCCGCATGGAGGTGCCGGCAAGTGGGCCAGAGTGGACCTCCAAAGGTCACATCTAGTCCGAGCCCTCAGCCGCGTGGCACCGTCTGAGCTAAGGCACATTTTGGGTTGGAAAAATGTTTGTGCTGGGAAAAGTTCCATCAAAATGCAAGACTTTTTGGAGGAAGCAAAGTGAAGGCCATGAAAAATACAGGCTTGGATCAAAATGAAACAATATTTTCATGGAGTTTCAGCTTCAAATTGGTCCTTTCAGGTGTTGGAAGCAGCCATGTCCTGGTTTTCCACATTCAGTTTGGGGATGTTTGGATTCTCCACTCTTTGCTTGGGTCCTTTTTTTCCACCCAGGAAAGAAGTAGAAGTTAAAAAGCAAGCAAATGAAGATAAATCCTCCTTTCCCAATTTTTACCCTTGTTTTCCAACTGGAAAATGCTGAAATGTCAAATCTAGGAGAAATAAAAGTTGGCTTCTCCCAATACAACAGAAATGTGCATTTCAAAAAGTCGTTTGGAAAGGAAAGGCAATGGGAACATTTATTTGAAAGCCTGCGAGAGGCAGACACGTGGATAGGAGGCTGGGAAGTGCCCGAAGTGGGCTTTCTTTGAGTCCTGCTCACCCAAGAGTTGCCGGCCAGGGGATTATTCTCCATGCTGTGGATGGAGAGGCTGGGGAAGAGCCATGCAGGGCAACATCCATCCCCTTTGCCAGAGGTCTTGGAGAATTGCTGCCTACTGCCGAAGCAGGACTAATTGGGGTCCTGAGAGATGTGGCTGGAGCATGCAGCAATGCCTTTGTCACTACCATGCCAGAGCTCAAATGCACGAGGGAAAAACCACACAGGACCATATTCTCCATCCCCAAGGGTGATTTTTGCAGATCCACTTGGCTGTGGAAGCTGGGGGCCAGCTGACGGGGCAGAAGCTCTGCAGACAAGGACCTGGGGGTGACAGTAGTCAAGAAGCTGAACAGGAGCCAGCAGTGTGCCTGTGGTGCCACGAAGGCGACTGGCATCCTGGGCTGCATCGGTAGGAGCGCTGCCGGCAGATCGAGGGCAGCGATTCTT